AAAAATATTTAACACTGAACATTTTTTAACATTCTAGCAGACACTATACCAACAAAGCACAATTTAACTTAAAATTAATAAGTTAGTAAAATAATATATTTTTGGCCATCAGACCCCCTTCTTGAATCAGGCATGTATTTTTAACTGTACAATTAAAAGCAGCCTTGCTGAGCAGAAGAGACTTCTTTTAAAACATTAGAAAATATTACAGATCCCAATTTGAACAACATGTTATAATAAATGTATTAACAGAGCTGTTAAGATGATTATAATAATTATTCTCACTTTTTATTTTATTTTACAGAACAACAGTAAAACGACAATACTAAAATTTATGAATGTTAGAGTTGTTGCTTTTTCTCAATTTTTATTTTGGCGGAAACGCGCAGGAAGACCTCAGCGCTTCTTTTTGTTGACAAATGGTTTATAAATGAGTCTCATTACGAATACGTCGCACGTATCGCATTATCACATGCCTTGTAAAAACCTCGCTGTCGGTGCTTGTAATGATTTTTGCGTCTTTCTCCGACAGTTTAAATGCTTCCACACTGCTAACATGTTTGTTGCATTGCGCCTCTCACTCTATGCTGGCTGCTATTTGATAGCGTCCCGTCATTGTTCAGTAGTTTATTCGGTCTTTTCGCTTATTCGGCCGAACACCGAAATACCATTTTTTTTCTATTTTTGGCCGAATATTTTCGGTTACCAAACATTCGGTGCATCCCTGTTTGAGATCATACACCCGCAGCCCCACTTTAAGTCTAACGCACCGTTTGTTTGGGGTGTTCGGTGAGTTCAGTCACGATATATACGTCATTCAAGCCGACCAATCAGGTTGTGAATGTATAATTATGCCTTTAGGTTCGCTGTCAAAAATGCCAATGTGAACGCTAAGCGGACCAGGACCAAATGTATCATTTTCCTTTTTGGTCGGGACCAAATGAACCGAACTACAAGTATGAGCACACCCTAAAACACCACAAGACACCCAGGTCAGGCTGATCACGGCAAGACGTCATACCTCACTCTCCGGATCGAGGAAGGACCAGCCGCCCTGCTCGAAAAAGCCCTCGGGATCGTCCACAATGGTCTTCATGATCTTGGTCCAGTTCAGAGACTGTACGCCCTCCGTGTACTTGATATCGCACGAGCTGCACACAGACACACAACACGTTCACTCGCACTGCAAACGTCTCAGACGAGAGCGGCACGGCCGGCACGCCAGCTTACTTGAGCCACTCTTTGATGGGGTCCAGAGAGTTGACGGGCACGGCGTTGATCATCGTGACTTTCTTGTTGTAGTCTTTATAAACGATGACCACATCGAAGTTCTTCAGGTGAAACTGGACTCGCTCGAAATGAACCAACTCCACCTCGTCGAGCGTCACCACGAACGGGGGCTTTGAGAGGGAGAGATGGGTCATTAGGACTACGGTTGGGAATCGAAAATCAATTCCAATTCCAGAATTGGATACTTAAGGTCAGGAATCAGAAACGTGTTGTAAAGTTAACATTTAAATTCCGCACATCAAGTCCTGTGTGCACATCTTTTTTTTAGTGGTGAAAAGGAGCTGTTAAAAATGTAGGCCTATTTTGTCTTTGAATCATTCATTCAAGTGATTCATTCAAAAACACCGATTCAACCAATAATGAAACAAGTAAATATTGAGTGAGTCATTGAATCATTCCATTCATACATTCCATGAGATTGTTTAGTTGTCTAGTATTTTTTCTTCTTCAGAATTGTGAGAACTACAACCTCCAATTATAAAAATAATAAAGAAAAAAAGAAAAAAAAAAATCCAGATTAATCCAGAATCGTGCAGCTCTATTTTGCACACAAACAGCTCCTAATCGAGTCCAGTTTTTATGTAGCAGACTGATTTTTTCATGGTATTCAGCAGCAATTAAAATATATATATATATATATATATATATTAGGGGTGTAACGGTACACGTATTCGTACCGAACCGTTTCGGTA